TCCTTATTTTAGCTAATTATCTTTCAATACCAGGTGATGTGCTTTTTGATAGCAAGCACGTACGTATGATATCTTTAGGCTTTCTAGCTCTAGCTTCGGTTCCCACAAGCAGTCATACCAAACCATCTACTAGGAGATGCCATTTCTAAAAGCGCTCGCAAAGATAAGATGTGCCAACATATGTTCATAAAAATGAGTATATGTCAATCGGAGAAATAAACCTAGAGGAGTTTCTAAAAAAGGTAAAAAACACAAACAAAACGCATGCTGCGGGCTGGGCCAGTGGGCCTACTCGCAGCGTAAAGTATTGGGTTTTTTTTGGATCGAAGCCATTACAATTCTTTGAAGTTGGAGAAATGCCATTACAATTCGTGTATTGTGAAACATGCCATTATAATTCTGGGTGTTGTTGGTGCTGGCCATTGTCTACGTATGTGAACAGCTCGGGCCCACTGTCAGGTCGAGGAAGCCGGACGTGACTTCCGTATGGACATCGATGCCCTTCTTGCGTGTTACAAGCCGTCGTGCCCTCTCTCCCGTTCAATCCATCCCCCACCCATGCTCCTCTCCGTCTTCCTCTTCCTTTCCCTTCCGTAAGAACCCTAACCCTAGACTGTAGCCGCCGTTGGAGACCTGCGGAGCTGCGATGGCAGACCTGCGGAGCTACGACGGCGACCTATGGAGCTGCAACGTTGGTGGTGTCGCGTCTGTGGCCGGCGCATTCACCGGAGGAGATGCAGGACCCATGAAGACGATGGGTGGTGAGGTCTTCCTGCATCTACGCCATAGTGCTGCGGCGGAGATAGAGGACTGCAATAGCAGGTAATGTATGCGCATCCCCTGTTATCAGTTTAAGCACATAGTGTAGTTGACTTGTGCTTGCCTATTTACACTTGGATTTGGGATTCGTTTTGATTGTTGGTAGGAATGGTATGTTCACGGTAGAGGTTAAAGTCCACGGTTTTGCTATGAAAGACTCAGATGGTAGGAAATCATAAACTAAAGGGACTATGATTAAGTGGGATGTGGAGTTTGGGTCTTTAACGCTTGAACTGTTGGTGTCCAATATTGCAAATGAATTGAATGTGCCCTCTAACCAATTACCCACAGTGTGGTTCTTTGATAAAAGACTTCATGAGGATGTAAGATTAATTAGTGAAATTCAGATGGTTGATGTCTTTGAAATGTACAAGGAAGAGATGGGTTTTCAGCTTGTAGTGGGATTGTTTGATAATGATGCTGAGTTTGATGACCTAGAGCCTTTATGTACAATTCCTCCTGAGGTTAGATTTGAGATACCCAACATTGATACTGATTTAGAGCCTGAAGCCAGTACTGCTGCTGCTAGTGCTAACAATCTAGAAGCAGAGGCTCCTCAACCCAGTACTATTGCTGCTAACAATCTAGAAGCATATACTGATTTAGAGTCTGAACAAGGTGATGATGTTGATGTAGAGCCTGAGAGGGAGCCTGATATCTTTGATAATCCTGAAGAATATGTTAGAGTTGATGATGAACAAATCTATATTTCAGTTCCTAATGCACAGCAAGCTGCTAATGCATAGCCAGTTAACAATGGTTATGATCATGGTGATGCTCACCCATCTGATGAAAATGCTTCTGCTAATGCACAGCCAGTTCTTGAAGAATATGATGAAGTTGATGATGCAGACCCTCTTGAGGTGCATGTACTCCATGATCCTGAGAATCCAAACATAGTGAAGGGGCATTGTTTCCTGATATCATTGCATTCAGGAAAGCAATTAGGCACCATGCAGTGAAGACTGGTTTTGAGTTTGCTGGGCTCAAAACAGACAAGACCAGGTTCTTAGCTCACTGTGCTGCCGAGGGTTGTCCGTGGCTCATACATGCATCCACTATTTTTGATAAAAAAAACAATAAAGGTAATGTGTTCAACTGCTGCTGTTTATGACCTAATTGTGACATTTTTTTGACATGCTAATGACCTGTTTGACATGTTTGTGCAGATAAAAGTGCTTCCTGCACAGCACAATTGTCCTACCACCAAGCTTAGAGAAGGAAAGATAGCAAGTTAGGGCTGGTATGCAGACAGGCTAGCAGACTGGGTGAAAAAGAATCCAAATAAGGGCCCAACGGATGCCAAAGACAAATTGGAGGGTGACTATGGAATTAAGTTGAAGTACTCCAAAGCTTGATCAGGTTTGTAGGTTGCTCTAGACCAGATTTATGGGTCTTATGAGGAAAGTTTTCAACTGTTATTCAATTGGGCTGCATAGGTTGAAATAAGTTCTCCTGGTAGCATTGTAGAAATAGAATTAGAGACAATAGGTGATCAGAAAAGGTTCAGAAGGATATTTGTTGCATTGAAGCCAGGCATTGATGGGTTCTTAGTTGGTTGCAGACCATTTATTGGTTTAGATGCTTCTAGTCTGACTGGGAGGTATCTTGGGCAGTTGGTTTCAGCTACTAGGGTTGATGGCCATAGTTGGTTGTACCATATTGCCTATGGTGTTTTTGACACAGAGACTGAAGATAACTGGAAGTGGTTCATGCAGAATTTGCACAGAGCTATTGGGAACCCTCTAGGATTGGTGATTTTATTCAGATGCTTGTAAAGGCCTAGAAAAAGCTGTGGGAGATGTCTTCCCACATGCTGAGAACAGGGAGTGCATGAGGCACTTGTACCAAAACTTCATGAAGCACTACTCATGTGATGTGTTCACTGACCATCTGTATCCTACTGCAAGGAGCTACACAGAAGCTGAGATGGGACCTGATGGTGAGACTGCTGCTGCACTGAATAAAAAGTAAGACTTCCACTATGTTCATTTTGTATCTGTCTACTAAATAGTGGTATCAAAAATAATTTGTTTGAACTAATGGTGCAGGAAGAGGCCGGCTGAAGAAGAAGCTGGACCATCTCAAGTGAAGAAGAAGAAGTCAGCTTCAGCTAAGAACAAGAAGACAGCTAAGAAGAAGAAAACACCAGTCAAGAAAAAACTGATGAAAAAGGCTGTAGCTCCACCTGCTAAGGTTGTTAGAAGTCTGATGGATATGCTGAATAATGGGCAGTAATCCACCTACAGCTTATTTTATGACTTGGATGTTATTTTGTGACTTGGATGTTATTTTGTGACTTAGGAGTCTGTGATGTAAATGGCCTTTGAACCTGAACAAGCGTTTTTGTAATATGAGAATAGCCCGAGTGCTGTAATCTGCTTTGCTTTTGTAGTGCCCTTGTTAATGCTGGTGCTATGTAAGCTGAATGGTTTGTCGGAGTAATGGCTGTAAACTTTGAAGATGGTTGCCAGCATTGTAGAACTGTCTTATGCGCAATGAAATTGCCTATTGGTGCTGCTTGCATCTACATCTACATTTTTCTGTGATGGTTGCCAGCATTCAGTTTGCTATTCCAGGATATACTTGCTTGAAGTATGAAGTATTTGCTCATTTTGCCTGTACTTCTATTACCAAAGCAGAGTTGCAACTGTGGCACTGGTACATATGTTTTGATGCCATTCTACAATGTTATGGTGCATCTATGCAATGGCGAAGGCGAACAACAGCAACAGCATCTTGCTGAAGCAAGAAGCAAGCAGAGGCCATGGCACATGCTCATTTCATCAGATATCCTGGTTCAAGCTAAAGCACACGGAGATATGCAAGCTGAGCGATCACTAATTCTCATTTCATCAGATATTTGGTACCCATTTCAATTCATACCATACGTTCATTTCATTACAATTCTGGAAACATACAGCCACACACACACTCTGGAAACATACACACACTCATTCCTAACAGAAACTGCTACAATCAGTTCACTTCCACATTGCAGCCACAAGCAAACCAAGCAGAACACCGACAAATCCTACAAAGACAGCGGCTACAAAAGAAGAATCAACCACAATCTTGTTGTCGACTTTAGGCTTCACTGTAGGCATGTTCTTGTTGTCGACTTCAGGCTTCACTGCAGGCATCACCTCAACATGTAGCATCTTTATTTTCCAGACCTCTGCTACAACACTATCCAGTGTTTGCTTCACCAGTTCCAATTCTTCCTTCAAATCGGCACAACAAACACCAGCTGCATCCTTCACTGACTGCACCCTCCGTTCCTCTATTTCCAAGGCCATATACTCCTTCACAAAGCGGATGTATGGGCAAGTACTATCATCATCCTGCAATCGAAACAAAGGGCATAAATCAGAGATGAATCAACACACAGCGAGCACAACAATATCCAAAATCATAACCTTGATGTTGTACGGGCACTTGAGGTACCACTCGCCCTTTGTCGCCGGTTGCTTGCTCTGGATGCGGACCAAATCAACATGGCAAAAGGGACACTCCCTTCTACCGCTGGGCGTCGAGCTCGAGCCACTGGAAGTTGCCTTCATGGTGCTGCGACTCCACTTCTCGGCCATGGCTTCAAAGTTGGGCGCCGCCATCAAACCGGCGATGGCCGTGCCAGACTGCTCCGCCGTGGGCTGCGACGTCAGCTAAGGCGGGGGTGGATGCTGGATATATTATAGGGTTAGGGTTTTTGGAGGAGGGAACGGAGAAGGATGAGCGCAGGTCACCGTCACAACTCCACATGTCTCCGCGACGGCTACAGTCTAGGGTTATGGTTCTTACGGAAGGGAAAGAAGAGGAAGACGAGAGAGGAGCATGGGTGGGGGATGGATTGAATGGGAGAGAGGGCACGGCGGCTTGTAACACGTAAGAAGGGCATCGATGTTCATATGGAAGTCACGTACGCCCTCCTCAACCTGATAGTGGGCCCGAGCCATTCACATACATAAATAATGGTCAACATCTGGTATTTCTCCGAACACTGAGCGCGAAACCCCACGGCTCCGACCCTTCTCGCTCCCGGAACTTTCCTTCTCCTCCCCGTGTCATCGTCAAACCGCCGTTTTCCAATTCCAATTCCAAGCCATCAAGGCAGCAGCAGCCCCCCTTGCGTCTCCGCACGCCACCGCAAGAGCCTCGCCGCGCGTGCAGGGCTGCAGGCCATGATGAGGAGCGTCAGCGGCACCGGCTCGGCCGGGAGCCGGAGGAGCGACCCCGGCGGCAGCGGCGAGCTGTCCCGCTTCTCCGTGGCCACCACCACGGCGTCATCCGCCTCGGAGCCTTCCGCGAGCGGTGGCGTGCGCGGGATCTCCTTTCTTGACGCCTTCCGGTCCTGCTTCGTGCCCCCGGAGGCGCGCTCGCCGGAGAACTCCATGTCCGACGAGTCCCACCCCTCCCACCAACGTACGTAGGCAAACGCACTTTTCTGCACCCATTTCTCCACTGCTTTTGTACTTTCAGGTTCCTTTTTTCAGTCCAAGATTGTGTTTTTTTTTTTTGCCAGAAAAGCTAGTCCTTTTTATGTTCGATTTGGGAGACTACATACTGTTTTTCTGTGCACTAATGCCGGAAAAACGCCCTTGTACAATGAACAGTTTTCGAGATATTTTCTCCAATTATTAGTAACTAGTGTCTAATTAGTTTTTTTGATAAAAGGTGTCTAATTAGTACCTCCAGCTTCGTTTGCAAAAGATTTAACTTTGATCTTAGCTTAACTTTTATTTGCTGCAGTTTTGCAGCATGTCTGCTGCAACAATAACATTTGTCTCCTGCTGAGCTTTACTATAAACCGGACGTGTGCGATACTTCGCCTGTCTGTCCTTTATGGTTTATATATTTATTTGTTTGCCTTCCATCTGTCACCATGTGGCCCTGCCCCAGCCCCATACGAGCTGCCATCCTATATGCAAACCCCTACCACAAGGTATGAATTTGTTAATGTCCTCTATGATTGAAGGAGAATTCCAAAACCTGTAAAGAATGAGGTACCGATTTGTTAATGTCCCCTCTCATCTAAGGAGGATTCCGGAACCTGTAAAGAATGGTGAACTGTGACCTTCTTGTTAATTCTTTCAAAGTCCTGACGAAATTAAATATCTTAGTGATGTATAGATAAGCTATCCTTGAATGGGCGCTGTTGAATTCATTGAACCATACACGTAAACGCTTTTTGACTATTTTTGCAGCACGTGTTATCAATATGTTTTCTGGCATGCTCAGGGCCTTACCTCTGTTAAATTTGCAGTCTCACAGTCTCTGAGCTCACAAGGTTCTAACAGTGGGAGCGTGTTTAGGAGCAAGAGATCAATTAAAGGAATGTATATCCCCATGCACAAGAGTTCTTTAGATAGGGAGATCCCTGGCAGCACAAAATTCTCCTTGTCACAGATCCAGAAAGCAACAAAGAACTTCTCACCAAACTTCAAGATTGGGCAGGGTGGTTCTGGGACTGTATACAAGGGTCAGCTTGCTGATGGTACTCTTGTCGCTGTCAAACGGGCCAAGAAGGTTTTTTGCTTATTTTCTTATGATCTGTTCATGTAAACTAGTTGTTGGTACAAGACTATATGAGTTTCCATTATTTCCAGAATGTGTATGACAAGCATATGGGTCGTGAGTTCTGGAACGAGATTGGGACATTGCAATGCATTGAGCACCTGAATTTGGTTAGGTTTCATGGGTACCTGGAGTTTGGTGGCGAGCAGTTGATTATTGTCGAGTATGTTCCCAATGGGAATCTTCGAGAGCACCTGGACTGTAAGAATGTCATGGTCCTGTCAATTTCTTACACGAGGATAGCTTTTAGAGTTGCAATGGTTTGTAGCCTTGTACCAAACTACCAACTGTATCTTACATGAGGATAGCTATATGCAGGTATAAACGGTAAAATATTGGAATTCTCAATGAGATTGGAAATTGCAATTGATGTGGCTCATGCTATTACATATCTTCATACCTATTCAGGTAATTATTCTTTCAGCTGCAGTTTGTTGCTAATTTTCCATATTAATTGTTCCTTTTGTTCTGGGGTGTAAGTGTAATGTTTGAGGAATAATCTTTGACATTCTAGTATTTACCTTTTAATCCAGAAAATACATTTCAATTTTGAATACTTCAACTATTCATTTTCTTTATTTCTGAAATGATATAACAAAATTCATAGTTAAATCAAGTTATCATATGCTATGATTGTCTACTTTTGCTGTAATTAATAGAGATGATACAACTGAAACTAGCATTAGATATTATTCTGGGAACAGCTGTGGCAATAATAATCAATACCTAACAAAAATATTCAAGATTTATAAATTTTAGTCCTAATGGGGAAGCAGTCAATATAATATTGAGACGTCTCTTTCTTCTTTTTGCATGACTGTACTCCGCACCCATAAGAGTAATGTATGTACTCTCTTTGATTATCTTACATGCCATTAATCTGTAGGGAATTATTGTGTATTTGATGATGGATCCTTCATAACATATATCTAGTAAATGACACTAGAAGAACCCTTTCCACAAATTTGCAACTAGCTTTTACCCAGGAGTCCAGGACACTAATTAAAAGAAACTATCTAAGCTAAATTTAGATTCTATGCTACATATCTTGAAGAAATATTGGATACTACAAACTTGCTTGGACATTGTAGGGCTTGATCTTCAGATGGTAGATTGAAGACTTCTTTTGTTGTGTAGCTTTACTTTCATATAAAGAAATGTGACTGTAAAGAAATCATCTGTGAACATCTAGCACCTGGATCATTAGCAATTAATACTCTCATTTATTTCATCCATGTAGACCAACCAGTCATCCACAGGGACATCAAATCCTCAAACATTCTTCTAATGAACAATTGTCGAGCCAAGGTTGCTGACTTCGGATTCGCCAAACTGGCTCCAACTGATGCTAGTCATATTTCTACTCAAGTCAAAGGAACAGCAGGCTATCTTGATCCAGAATATCTCAGAACATACCAGCTCAATGAGAAGAGTGATGTCTACTCCTTTGGAGTCCTTCTGGTGGAGTTGGTTACTGGGAGGCGCCCTATAGAGCCAAAGAGGTCAATCATTGAGCGTGTTACCACAAAATGGGTTAGTTTCTGTCGCTCCAGACATCATACTTGTTATTTGCATTACCACTGGTTCCCATTACCTGATGAAATAGAAACAGAGTCATGTAGTAATATGTCAGAACAAAAAGTCTACATTTGGTCTTGATGTGCTTCATTCATGTCCTAGTAATATACTACACGTGTTTTTACAGGCAATGGAAAAATTTGTGGAGGGCAATGCTATCCAAACACTAGATCCAAATCTGGAAGCGTCCGATGCGATCAATCTAGCGGTAGAGAAGTTGTACGAGCTGGCTCTGCAATGCTTAGCTCCAACGAAGAGGAACCGACCGAGCATGAAGCGGTCCGTAGAGATTCTGTGGGGCATACGTAAAGATTACAGGGAGTTGGTTGTACCCACATCTGCCATGAACTGAAGCAGATCATCTGGAGCAATCAAGTGAACAAAAGATGTATTCCAGTTTGCCTCTCTTCAAAGATTGGTGGTGGAAATCACCCAATTGCTGGGATTCTTTCAGTTACAGAAAGTGGTTGTGAACAGGACTGATGGCCTTCCTAGATGTTGTGTGTCTACTAGCTAGAAACCAGAAAATCCCTTACAGGTCTTAGTATGCTGTGTGAAAATGTTGCTGAGCAAACATATACGAGTACCAGATATCTAATGGTGTGTATATATCTTGTAGGTTTTTTGTATACAGGTAAATGCATCACGCATGAAGAAATCTTGTTGTTTTCATGCAGTAATGCATCTTTTGTTTTGTTGTCTATGATGAGCAATGTTCAGCGTATGATTACCAACATTCAGTACCTGTATATGTGCTCTTTCAGTCTTTCTTTCCTGGCGTTCAATTTGTGCGGTGCCTCATCCCGGGACAGGGGGTGCGGGACTCACTGTTGTTGTAATTTTGACGGGGAGACTGGGAGCTGCCTTCCTGACAAGTAGCTCAGTTACCTCTTTTATCTTCGAGCTAAAATGTCGATTAATGATATATTATCACTCTGTGATGGGACTATTTATGACAAAATATGGTTCTTTAAAATTGTTACTCAATATTCATGTTTTGTTGTCAGGTTTTCTTATAAGTCATTTTAACTTTCGTGGAGAGTTAAATATCTCAAGTTTGACCAAAATTTTAGAGAGAATTACAAAGATTTGTGACATCAAATAGATATTTTATAAAAATATAATTAATGAAAAATTTAGTGATACTTATTTGGTATCATAAGTGTTATTATTTTATTATATAAATTTGGTCAAACTTGAAATACATTGATCCTCCAAAAAAGTTAAAATAACTTATAATTTGGGACGAATTGAGTAACAAATATAGTTGAATTCATATTGGATCAAAATGTGAAATACTCGGCTGGAGAAGGTCACCTAGCAGGCTACCACACCGTCGTGTTTCTGTCCTCTATACCTCTCGGCCATTTCTCTGTTCCCTCCCGCTCGTGCACGTGCTTGCTGCTGCTTGGATTGCCGGTACAACTTCCGAACTCCGTCCAATTATAATGCAATGCAGATGCAGACATGCAGTCTATTACATCCCAACTGAACACTATCTTTTCTCAATCAGACAAAATATAACTAAACATTATCTCTTCTAAGTCAACAGACAATTAAACAAGGCAGCCAGCCGCGTGCAGGATGTTACGGCTGTCTTCCTCCCAATCGTACAAGAGCCAAACTGCAGGATGTTATGACTGGATTTGAGAGGCAGCCCGCAGCCGTTCGGTCGTACGGGGCATGATTCTTCACCCTAAAAGACGCGTGATAACCGCAGATTATTTTTGACGAAAGATAACCGCAGATTATCACGTCCCTTTCCTCCTAATGAAAAACGGGTGAATGGTCCGATCGCGAAAAAAAAGATTATTACATCCCCAAGACGGTCATCGCTTTACATAAACAAGGAAGTTTCGACAAACATTCTCCCAACCATCACCGAAAGATTGGACCTAAATTCAATTGCATGAAACGACGCCTGAAATAGTACTGCGGTATCCAGCTACAGCACCAGGTTCAAGTATATATGCAGAGCAGGTAGCAAATCCTGAAGCATCACAAAAGATAAGAAGCAAAAAAGATTGGACCAAAATTCATTGTCCGCAAATGCAGATCTCAAATAGCTCGTCAGTCGTCACTTTGCAGCAAACATCGTCAAGGATATACGTCTGGTAGGATAGCAACGAAAAACAAACTTGCACTTCTCATCCAAAAGTCAATCAAGGTAAAACATGTACCCTCCTTGTGTGGCCCAAAACTATGAGTTCAACGACTATCTGGTGTAAGCTGATCACTAGTACATCTGAACACTAGGGGTTCACCTCAATCATGAAATTAACTAGGGCCATCAGGATTCGAAGGCAAGAGGTTATTTTAACCAAATACCGCTGCTTAAGGAAAACTGTCTATGTTTACTTGTGAAGTGTTCGACAAAGAGCCAAATGAATTCTGTATAAGAAGTCAAATGGAGAACAGGCAAGAGCAGATTGCAACTAACATGCAGGAAATGTCAATATACAGCATCCAGGTAGACCATAGGACCCCGAAGTCTCAGCTCTTTCTTTTGCTTGACAGACATTTTTTGTGGAGGAAAAGATTAATAACTGTTTCTTCCTTGGCAAAGGAGAACAGCTACAGAAGGTGCTTATGTACTGCTAAGGCTCAACTTTGGTTTTGCTTTTGCAATCTAGTGCAAATCTAACAGTGCTAACAGTGCACTGAACTATTACAAATAATCTATCTAACAGCACACTGAACTATTACAAATAAACTGTCTACGAAAACAAGATTAGTCATTAAAATCATATAGCATGCTCCTAACTATTCCATTCCTAACACTACAATATTTATATTTGAGAGCTAGTACTTGTTTCCCTGTTAAGGAACACATTCACTGGCTTGGTAGTAATTCAGGTATTAAGAACCTAGGCAAATCCATGCCAGAATGCACATCAGGTAAAATTTAAAGCATGAGTTCACATTTTATAAGAGTTCACATTTTAGTATCTTCTGTAACTTCCAAATTGACAATGTCACATAATATATAGTTCATTCTTCTTGGAAAGCACAGCAGAAACAATTAACAAGCTTGTCATGACAATGGACACGGCACATTAGTTAATGATTGAACAGCTCTGAAGTTCATCAGGTACCCAGAAGCAATGTATTGTGATTTATCTTCCTCTGTACAACCATGCAATACAAAGTTGCAAACAACATCACAAATTATTTAAAAATATGAGATTGCAACCCTTGAGAGTATAAAGATGATGAGATGAATGGAACAGAAACCATTTTAATATATAAGCGGTTGAGTAACCAAAATAGACTAACCTTATGTTGTACTTTGGTGCAATCATGTTAATCCAAGTAGATAAATAAGTATGGAATACTATGCTGAAACAAAATAAAAGAAATAAAAAAATAATAGCTTCCCATTTACAGCTCTAAGTCTCAGATTCGATACAGCGCTGATCATAACCAGCGCACAACTACCTTCCGCAAATGTACATTGATATTTCGAGAAACTCAAGTTTCTAAGCTAAAGATTTTAGCATTTTCCTCAACAAAGAAACAGATAATCCCACTATAGGTGTCAGAACAGTTGCGCGATGGATCTCCTAGCAAATAAAAAAAAACATCTACAGTAGCAAGCACAAACTTCACTACTATCCTAATTCTGTAGTATCAAGCAAGCTTTTACCTCTGAGGTTTGCACCTCCTCCTATGCCGGGTGAAATCTGAAACAAACTTAAATATTTTGCTGCACCCAGGCGTCGTGCATTTGTAAGGCTTGACCCCAGCATGGACCTTGAAATGCTCAGCCCGATCCCATGACCACTTGAAAGCCATATTACAATCATCCCATGGGCACTTGTAAGGCATATCATCGTTGTGTGCACTCTGGTGGCGCCTCAGGTACCTGTGGGATCTGAAATGTTTGTTGCATGAATTGACCGTGCACATGTTCTTCTTGTGGACAGCAAGCTCAGCTTTTGTCTTGAACGCCATGTGGCAGTAATCAATATTACATTCAAATCTATTTCTCTTCATCTTTTTAACCTTGCTTGCAGCTGAATTATCGATAAGGTCTTTCTTTATGTCGGCAAGTTTAACATCTATGGACCAAGCTGTTGACAAGACACTTTCACAACGATCACTTCTCACCAGTGTCTCCTCTTTCTCGCATATAACACCATCTTCCAAGTCAATATTTTCCTTCTTTACCTCCAGCAGCTCCAGCTTCCTCTTACCTGTCCGCCTAGCATAACAAATAACATCTGTTCTCCCTGATTTACCAATGCTTCTAGTCACTGCGTCCAATACACGTAAAACACTGGGTGCAACAGATTTATCCTTCGATACTTCTCCCTTAACGATTGGTCCTCTGGCTCTGACAGAACCATTGGTTGTGGAATTCACAGAACCACCGTCTTCTGCAGCATCACATCGAGAAGGCTGCACTGTACTAGCAACAGTGTCTACAGCATTTCCAACCTGCACATTGCCTATGTTCGGATCACAACTAGGCGGCCGTGGCTCATCTAAAGCAGCAGTATCATCTACATTGCAAGAAGCTCTGCCAGCATCTTCCGGTTCAGCAGCAGCTTCACTAGCAATATAATCCTCGCCTGCAGATTCCAGTTCAGTAGTTTCATGAACGACAGAACCTGTATCACTAACTCCCACCACGGTGGTTATAACCCCTGGATCAGTAACAGGTTTGCTTGTAACTTCTGGCATAGTGCTTGTAACCCCTGGCACATCGGCCGATTCATTAGCAAGGGACGCACCCTTGAAAATTCCTAATTCAGTGGTCGATCCATTCACAAGAGAATTCTCCGCTGTAACCTCCAGCTTGGAGTCACCACCCGGAAGAGAAGCTCTAAATTTAACTCCCTGCTCAATAGCAGCATCGTTGACAACAAAAGCACCGGCTTTAGCTTCTGGACCAGTAGCAGCTTCACTAACAGGAGTAGCGCCTTCCGGTTTCACCGCAGCTCCACTGACCTCAGAAGCACGTTTAAAAACTCGCAGTCCCACAGGAGCTTTATTCACAGGAGGTACATGATCAATCTTGCATTTCTTAACTGAAAGCGTCCATAGAACACCAAAAGGAACAGTAAGTTAATGCATTAGCATTTATCACGGTGTAAACGCAAATGATATTTTGAACGGAAATACAGTGCGAACCTTCGGGAGCAGGCGGTCGCTGGGGCAGGCCGACGCGCTCGTCGGCCCTGACATCGGATTCCGGCACCCGGCCGGCAATGTGCCCTTTGTGCTTGATGGCGTCCTGGCCCTCCTGCGATTCCAGGGGACACCCCCACTGTTACCCCGCCCCGAACGAAGTAAAAGCGCCCCCTTCATGGCGGCGCGGGCGAATAATGCAGCGATAGAGGAAGGGGGAGGAGAAGGGGATCGAGTTACCTGCGGGGCGAGGCGGCTGAGCTCGCAGAAGGCGCAGCAGTCGTCGTCGTCGGTGTGGAGCCAGGACGCGGCGGGCGGCCGCGGCGGGGAGGGGGCGGCGGCGGTGGCGGAGTCAGGGGAGGTGGAGGAGAGGAGGCGCGCGGCGTAGCGGCGGATGCGCATGGAGCTGGTCCGGCGCGGCGTTGCGGGGGCAAAGGGAAGGCGGCGGAGACGGTGCTCGGTGGTGGTGGCGGTGGGGGCAGGGGGTGGACAGGCGCGCGGGGGACGCGGACGTGGTGCGGAGGGGCTGGGGAATTTCGGCCGGGAGCTCTCGCCCTCCTCTGCTGTGCTGTGCTGTGCGTTCCCCTAGGGAAGAATTTTCTGGTGGTGAGGTCAGGTGTGTGGCTTTCGCGTCCGGACAGCCCACCCTTTTGTGCTGCGTTTTTCCTTCGCTTCGCCTCCGATCCTTTGTAACCTCCTGTTCCGCGTTTTCATCGCAGTCCTGTCTCCAACGACTAAAAAAAATAAAGTGAATAAAGTGTGGATACTTTTTTTTTTTGTGATATTTGTTTTGGGTCTACCTCCCCCGTGCGATACCGTGAGTCGTCGCTCTGCCCACACGATGCGCCCCGCGACTCCGGATGAAAGGCGCTGATCCCGCCCCGAAATCACGCTCGCGATAGCGGTGTGGCTATGGAGGACGAGGAGCCCATAGACTCGCCGGCCGCCACCGTGGGCGTGCACGGGTTGCCGCGTCTGCTCGCCGCCGCGGCCTCTAGCCACGTGGCACCCGCGCGTGCCCTTCGGCCGGCCCCCACCGCCCACGCCCGCGCTAACACCAGCCGCATCTCCGCCCGTGGGGGAGGACGCGGCAGCACGGCAAGGATGAGCTCCTCCAAGAGCGGGAGCACCTCGAGCGCGGCCGTCTCATCGGACGCGAGTGCCTATCCTCCTGTCATGGATCTGGGGATGGAGGGTGCTAACGTCCACACCCGTCGTGGATGACGATCGCATCATAGATGACGATGACGATGCCACCACTGTCTGGCCCCGATGCACCTCCTCTGCGCTCCAGCGATCTCGACCTACCTCGTCTTGGTTTCTCTTCCATGATGTCCTCCCTGATCCCCTTCACAGAGAGATGGAATACCGAAGGATGCCAGGACAGGGACGTCCTATCTGGTGTGTGTGTTTCGCCCTTGCCGCTTTTGCTTGCTCACCTGCTTGTCATGTTCTGTCGTGAAGGGTATCAGGGATTCAGGGCTTGTGAAGTTCATACTCAAATTGTATTTGTGAAGTATGGCATAAAGGTTGACAGGGATGATGCCCACCAGTATTCACTGAAATGCCTCAAGGTAAATATATGGTACAAGTTTTAATTTCTCGTTGTTGTTTTTTGTGAATTTGATATGAATTTCACTGTTTTCTTTCATTTGGGTCCGAATTAGAGTGGCAGCTTTAAAAATGCTCTAAATGTTTTCTTCGCGAGTTATTAATCTTGTACTATTGTCATTTAATTGAAAATGCAGTTCTATTGTTTACAGAGCTCTTGCGGATAAGCTTTGTTCTATTGTCCTTGATGAACATCCATGCTATAATCCTGCTTTTTCAGGCATTATTACAGGCAGTGTTTCATTTGAATGGATAAATAACTTAATCCTGCTTTTTCCCCATGTAGCATGGATGGTTACTACTGCTATATTCATCATGTTATCGAGAAAAGATTGCTAAGGTTTGTGGATTAATAACTTAGAGCAAACTAATACAGAAAAATGGTTATAATGGTAAATTCCTGCTGCCTCCTTCCTGTCAATTAAACAGAATCCATTGCCCGTTTCTTTTTTCACATCTAAAAGATCAACTTTATTTTCTCCCAATTTGAGTAGAAGAGTTATTATCTTGCTCTCTTCATGATGAGGACCTTGGTGGTTCATCAGCAAAACTTGGGCAGTTAGCAAACAAAGCTGCCCTGAATCAAGTCGGTAAAGCAAAGTCATCAGATACTCTCAAGCATTAACTGATGATGAATAGAACGGGAAATAGTTTATTTGCAATGCAGGCTACTCAATGGTGTTATTTCTATGAAGCAGAGATATGGTAAGTTTTTATTTGTCATGTACATTATTATTCCTTATGCAACCATACAAGATGCTTTTGGTTGTTGTCCGCTTCATTAATTCCCTTGCTGCTGCAGTACTATCTTAATTAGTCTTCACAGTGCTAAAATGAACTGCGTAGATACGTTTATATTTCTTCAGCTTTCTGAATCGAAATTTCAGTACGACTTATATCTTGTAGAAGATTTGATACTCAAGGTTGTCCAAAATATTTCTTATGAGTTGGATTCTTTCAATAAAAAATGGGATCATATCATTATGAATCAGTTTCTCCGTGACCTGAGGGAAGCTAAGAAGCGCGGAAACTCAGAGAGGAGACAAAGAAAGCTCTAGCTATCCTGGTTGCAAATGCACCTTCTGTTGGATGTCAAGCTTACGAAAATTGAGGTTCATCCATTTGGTTGGAAGCAAGAGAGCAGCAAGTTCCAGTCAGCTTTGGCTAACCAATAATGGTCTCCAGATGGCTGGTACATGTCGTATGGTTCAACAGATCCAGTGATCCACATCTTGGAGACACTGCAGGTTTGTTTCCTGATCCATGAAATATTGTCATATCTCATATAGTATGCTTATCAAAATATAATAAATGAAAGACGATTAAAAAATAGATTTGAATTGCTATGCCTTGCAGCAGAACAAAGCCGCTTTCATTCCTAGCATTAGTGCAAAAGTGCAGCAACTTCCATCATGCCACACAGCTTGTTCTATTCTCACTCTTTGTTTAAATTTGGTCCAACATGTTGAAACCTGAAAACCATTATGTTTCATTGTTCTGTAATTTCCTATCTTCGTAGCTGAAATAGAGTCAAGAATCTAAATGGGAATCTTCCAACATCAAACCACATTTGAAAACAAGAGTTCTAGAGTCTTGTGCCTGACATTTGATAGTCTGTTTAACTGCTAATATGGTCCACTGACTAGATGTGCCAGGCAAACTCTTAAATTCAGCCAAAACTCTGACCATGTAGGTTTAGTTTCATGGATTCTATTTCTTTTGTTCTGAATCTCTCTGGTCAAATTTGTAGGGTTCAATGGAATCAAAGGAGGAGGATGATCGGGCCTCCTATTGCCCTTGTTGAGTAGCAGTTTTGTGCTACATGTTGTTTTTGAAGTGATGCATAGACGGTTTAGATTGGCAAATTATTTTAGATACTTTTTGTCAAATCTTTCTATCTGTATCTAACTATGTCTACGCGATATTTGAGTATTTGTACACAAGTTAATCTCAAGAAAGCTGTGACGCTATATATAGACACTAAGCATTGAAAATTTGGTTAGCAGGCTGTCATCTAATAGTGTCCTTTTTATCAGGTGTATTTTCACTTGTATGCATGTCTCCTTGGGGTGGCTTGTGGCTAGAACCAATTTACTTTCGATGAGGGCATATGTGTCATCTACATACCTTTATTTAAACAAATATGCACCTTGTACATATATGATGTTGAAACAAATAAACCACTGCAAAGTTGAATTGATATTTTTTGTTCAGCATGATTTGTGGACTCATACACTATGAGTGGTGTGGGTTTACGTTTGTGGGTGCTGATGTGGTGTGGCCTGGGTGGGGTGGCACATGGGCGGCCACCTAGAGCTGTCGGCGTCGAAGGGGGTTAGGGCGAGGGGTAGGGAAGCTATGACGCCACAGATCGTTGGGGCTCGGCCGAGGTAGCGCGACACAGGGCTACAATGGCATAGGGTGTCCGCCATCATTTTAGTATTTCAAGAAACTTCTGGTTAGTTTTATCAAAAAGAATTTTTGAGGTTATACAATGTATATTTCTCGTCATATGTGTTTTGCATTGTAATTAGTGGAGTTGCAATGTAATTGTTGAAAAAGGTTTACATGATGAGTATAACATACTTTGTTTTAAGGTTTCGTGAGAGATTTTTCAAGACACGTAATATACTCATATGACAGGCACTAATATTTACATATATACTCGAACCTGTGTACAAGTTGTTATGGAGATGTGGTGGAACTTTATTCGTGAATTTATTGGCGCACGAAAGAAATGGATATCGGAGATTTCTTGCTGCTGATATAAACATTATCTTAGTCGCATCATGGACAGGTCTATACAATAGAGTTTATGAGCCTACAACACCGCCCTCTTCGTGTTTGTATTAATTTCACGAACTTTACTTTTTAGATTATATGTCACTTTAACTTCGGTATTTAATTTCACACTATTGTTATCTTATCGTGCGATCCATGTGTTTTAAGGACAAAAGTTTAGCTGTCACGTAGCAACGCATGGGCACGAACCTAGTCACAACTAAAAGAGTAAAGAGGAGATACCGTTTTGGTGCGACAAAAACTTCGTCTCACCTTCGTTTCACCCCGCGCGAAAAAAAAGTTTTCCACCTCAGACGCTCTGCCCGCCCGTGCTACAAGGAAACTCGTGGTCTCCACGCTCTGCCTTCTCGTGCGAAAAGGAAACTTACAACCTCGACGGCGACCTCGATGCCCTGCCCCCGCCGTCTAACGCGACGCCCTCAAGCTCCGTCCCACCGACACCAACGCCGTCAAAACCGATCAAGACGCCGGGGCACTGTTCAACGACGGCGGTCAGTCGAACACATTGCGTGCTGTGTTCAGCAAGTACGCGGAGGAGCTACGCTGCGCACTGCGTGAGCCATATAGGTGCCCAGCCGCCCACGCCACATGTATGTGTACATCTCCCTTCGCCCTCGCCCTCGCCGCGGGAAATTGGGTCGGGGCGCATATCTGCACCGCCGCACATCGCCGACGCCGCCGTGCCTCGTTTCGCTCTGCCACGCCGCCGCCACAAGGCCGAACCACCACCGTAAGGCCATCATTGAAAGGTCCTAATATGGATAAAGGGGGGTGAATAGCCTATTTAAAAATCTACAAACCAATTAGAGCAATTTGATTAGTATGACAAATAACGAAAAGCAAACTTGCTTTAGCTCTACAAGGGTTGTAAGCCACCTATCCAACAATTATAGTTACTATGATCACTAAGCACATAATTTACTAAGTTACTACTCACTAAGAGCTCTCACACTTGCTACACTAAAGAGTTCCACTAGATAAACTTAAGC